TGGTTTTTCTTGAGTCAGGGAGGTGGGGTAGAATTAGTTCTGTATCTTCTGGGAGAAAAGAAAAACACTTGGGAGGAGAGCAGTAAAGCTTGAAAAAAGTTGTTTATTAGATGAAATACAGAGCATATGAATGATGATTCATTAATAAGTAGGCTGATCCTTCAAAGAAAGGCATAGTTGCTCAAAAATGGAAGGATTTCTACAGTCTTGTTGACCATATTTTTCAAAACCTGCATCATCCCCCACGCTTTCACTTTTCTTCACCATGTTGCAACTTGTGACTCTAATCATTAGCCCCTGACTGCCATTTCCATTGCCTTTCATATACAGAATGCCCTCTTGCTTTCTCACTGTCTGGCAGTGGGCTTAAGAAGACACCAATATTTTGAGTATATTGTGTGATGGAATATATTTGTTCTCTAGGGATAAATTTAGTAGACTGTGAAGTATCCTTGGGTTTTCTAGGATGACAGTAGTTAACTAGGAAGCTGTCAGAACAGATGAAATAAGGTCCTAATCCCAGTAACGGGAGCATCATGCAGCATGCATAACAAAACGTTTGAGAGAGGAGTAAGATAAATAAGCCCCTCTTGTGCCTTTCTAGTTCTGATGAAACTTGAGTTGCTGGAGAACCCTGTTTCAGTTCATGTTTCTGCAGGTTGCCTAGACTCTTGCTTCCAAATCGCACTTCCAAACTGCAGACAAAATAATCGTACTATGTTTGGTACAAAGTGGATCAAGAGAGTCTCCTGATTTTACAGGTTGCAGTAGCTGAATGCTGTTGAGGCTTTCCATAGGTCCAGGGAAGGTTTGGTTGAGTCATCAGGCCTGAAGGTATTTAAAAGATGTGTAGATGTCGTGCTTAGGGACATTGTTTATTGATGAGCTTGGCAATTTTAGGTTTACGGTTGGACTCAATGATCTTAAACATCTTCTCCAACCTGAATGATTCTATGATTCTGTAAGTCATTGGCAAAAAAACTACCAAACCCAGCTGTGACAGACCAAAGGGAGACCTGTGTGTCTGTGCTAGTAGGTAGTAGTCATTGTGCTGGGTTTCCGTGCTCTTGATGTGTGTGGTTTCTGTGTTGGGGGTTTCAGGGCAGGATGAAGATGTCACCTGTGGTCACTTTTGTGCCTGCATGAAATGGTGAGTATTCCAGCAGAACAGGGTCTGGTAATTACATAGGGAGTATCTTTCATACCTTCCCTTGACCCTTTGTCCCTCTGTATTTTCTACATCTTTCTGAACGGGGTTTTTATGGTAATGACTTTGTTTCTGTTCCCACTTCTTTCCTGTTTTCTCTTTTGCACAAGAAAGTAAGGAGAAAAGGATTCTCCTGAACGCCATTGTCCCCAGTTCCTTCACTTCTGTTTCAGGAATGATAAGCTGGATAAATGCAGTTGTTTAAGCCTCCACAGGCTGTTAACGCAGCAGCTCTGTGCTCTGGGGATGGAGTCACTCACGCATATCCCTTCATTGCTGCATAAAAATTCCAGGTGCTTTGCAAGGTTCCAGCTATTAGAGGAGATGCTCCTGTTGAAGAGCTCCTGCTTTACTGAACTGCCTGCCTTCCTTCCTTTCTCCCCTGTGGCCTGTGGTGGTGAGCAGCCTTTACAAGGTAGTTACAAGAGACCCAGCTCCTGCTAATTGACAACATCCATTTGACACTGTTGGGGTGCTGAAGTTCAGGATCTTGACCACATGTGTGTCTGTGACTTAGTGAGAAACAGTAAATGTATGCTGTATTATTCATTTACATTTTTTTCCTCCTTTGGCAAATATTTTTATTTTGATTTGTTACTCTGAAAAGAGTGTTTTCTACCAACCAATTTCAGTTGTTTAGCTTCTCTCAAGGAAGCAACACTTCAGCTTTTTCACAGCCTTGCTGGAGGAAAAAATCCTTCAGTGAAACTGACTGCCAGGTTTGTAACAGGACGAAGGCTTCGGTTTTCTGACAACTTTGCATAGTCTGACTACAGAGAGAATGATGTGATTACAAATTGCCTGCAAAAGAGAAATGTCAAAAGTCTGTAGGATTTGCCATGTAAAAGATTTCTAGTTATTGAAGTGATTGTGGCTTTGTATTAGTGCTTGTAGATTTTTTTTATTTTATAGTAACCTGTAGATATTTTTCCAGAACGGTTTGTTCCCTTCTGTGCCTTCCCTAGCCTACCCTCTTCCTGACATTAAAAAGAAAAAAATCAGTAGAAAATACCTTGGCAATGGCCAACAGTATCTGAGGGAGGTGTGCTGTACAAGGTAGTATCAGTGACCTGGTGGTGCAGTTTTGGGTGTAATGCACAATGGTGTTTCTTAATGAGTTACTTTTCTTTATAAAATGTAGCTGCTCAGCCCATAGGAAGAAACATTAAGCCTTGCTTCAAAATCAAATCCTCATTTTTGGCAAAAAGCGGAAGTGTATAAATGCAGAAAGATGCATTTAACATTCAGACTCCTGTGGGAGTTTAACTGGGGACAAGGAATAAGCATTGAAGCCAGTAAAAATTTATGTATTTGGAAGATGGAAATTAGGGATAATAAATTTAAATAATTGTTTGTTTTGCTAACCACTACATTTAGAGAGGGATATAATATTCCCCTTCAATAGCAGAGTGAAACTGAAGTTCCTGTGTGGGTTTGATGTGCCTGCAGTTGCTTATTTTCAAGAATGGGCTTTCATGTGTGTAAATCCTTTGGGTCATTTTCTTTCCTTTGCCTCATAGATGGGAGATGCACTTTCTCAAGGCAGATGGCTTGATTCTGCAGCATTCTGATGTGTCCAGATGTACCCAGAGTCAGGAGTGCTCAGTTCCTGGCAGACCTAGGAGTGGTTTATGAGTGAATCTGGCTAAATAGTTTTCTATCCCAGGCTATATTCAGTAACTGAAAAAAAAATATCTTGGTTTTGGCTTTTCTATCTTCAGTTGCTACCAGAAACATTCTTAACTATGTGCTGACAAAAACGAAGAAGTCTCAAATGTTAAGGTTGGTGAATAAATGAAATTATACAAGGAACTGCAAATTAAGAGTTTTCCAGAGAGTGCCACATGTACACCCCCAGATGTATCACTTTCACCATGATCAGTGAGTTTTACAAAAGGTCTGGGGATAGCAGGTAGTCCCAGGCTTGTTATTCAATTAGAGTAGAAAACCACTGAAATCTTTGACAGCTGAGAACTCAAATTCACTTTTCACTGAAACATTCAGTTGTTCTCCCTCTCAAAAATGTCGTCATTAACCGTAACAATTTTTTCACATGAATTAATAGAGCTAAAGCATGTGGCATTTTTTACACTTCAAAAGAAGGATACTTTTCAAAGTAGATTTCCATGTTTTCTTAAATAACCCTTTGCATAACTTGCAGGCACTACTGTGATAGCAGATACATTGCCTAGAAGTTCATGAATTTAGTTTTTAGAAAAAGCATAGTTTTTCTTTCAAGATACAACTCAAATATTTTTTTTCCTCTTTTGGACCTTTGGAGAATGAATGTATTGATTATTGAAGGCCTGTACTGGAGCTCTGTGTGTGCTTACGGTGTTCATTTGTAAGGATGTGTTGTTCAGCTATAATGACTATGAAGGTGGAACATAATGTGGTAGACATGAGTAAAACAGGAGCTTTTCTTTCAACACCATCTTCATTGAACAGACTTTTGTGGGAGGGAAGATGTGAGTACAGGTTTTTCTTGAAAATTCACATTTTTAATTTGGCTGTTTGCATCTGCAAACCTAAATCAGGGAGTTAGAGTTCATCAGCAAGCAGAAGTTAGGGCAAGATGCTGTTCAGTAGCTGCTAAGGTATCTGTGAATTACTCAGTTCCAGACAGGGTGGATGAAAAAGATCCTGTGTAGATGACTTAAATCCAAACACTTGTGGATTGATATTCTCTATTTTAAATAATACAGCATATTGACCTTTTAATAGAAAAAAAATCGATGGATTTTTTTTTTAATATACTTGTCATAAATGCATTCCAGAATTAAATAACTAAACTAGAAGCCTTTTGGTATGTATCCTGCTAATGGAATTATGTATTTAGTCTGTTCTATTTTGTATTGTGATGGTGTTTCTTTGATTTTTAAATAAAATTAAAATCCATGAAGACTGTATTTTTAAGCCTTGCAATAAGGAGGAAGTCAGTCCACTGACATGGAAGAAAGTTTGAAGTCGAGAATGAATGGAACTATACCTTTGCTTTAAGTAAATAATAATAAATGGAGTACTTTTAATAGACACCACCAGTTAAAGCAGTCTTAATTTCCACGCTGCTTTACCCTGCAGTTCAAAAAGGGTTTGTTGATGCTATACAGAAGATAGTCCTGCTCTTTTTTAATTGTAGCTACCAGGGTTTTTTTTAACTATCATTTCCAAGACCTGTACAGCCTCTTCATTTATACACATGTTTTCTATTTATAAATAGTTAAAGGGTTGGATCTTGTAATGGATAAAGATATTTCAATCCACCTCAATAAATACTTACACATTTATGCCTGACCTTTAATACCTAAATCACTTTCATAAGATCACAGCTTTCAAGAGCCTTGTTTGTTTTCATCTTGTCAATTATCTCTCTTTTATTCTTTTTTTTCCCCCTTTTTTGTCTGTTAACATAATCTGGATATGTTGCTTAAATGGATAGAACTGAACAAAATATTTCTTTTTCTCACATATATGAGGGGAAAAAAGATTTTCCTCCTCACAAGTGTTTTAGCATAATATGTCATGGCAGTTTGTACTCTTGAGAAACAAGGGAGTGAGTTTGTTTTCCAGTGGTAATGTTCAGATGCTTCGTGTTCAGTCAGTATGACATGTCACATAACTTAAAATTTTAGAAAGTTTGCTGTGTGAATCTTTCATATTTTGGTTACAAAAATTTATTTCAGATTCCATGTCTTCAGTCACGTGAAAAGTTAATGAAGTTTTGAGATGCCCTTTAATATTTTGAAGTCTTTTTTTTTTTTTTCAAAGTTAACCTGACAGCCTAACAAAGACAATTCTGTTTTCTGCAGTACTTCGGAAGCTTGCTTGTAATATTCTGTGTTGAACTGGCCTGTGGTGTTTGGACCTATGAGCAGGAAGTAACGGTGAGTCAGAAAAGGAGGCTGCATTTTTTCAACAGAAGAAAACAAAGATTTCTATTAGCTGGCTGTTTTCTAATGCTGTAGTGTTTGTTCATTATTCCAACAGTCTCATTTCATGTGACTGTTTGGGTTTTTTTTTTAATCAGAGAATTCTTCTGGGAAAACTTGTCTGTCTGGAAGGTACTCTCTGGGTTTCTCTCCACCCGCTCTGTATTTGAGACCCAAATCCTGTAGCCTGTGATTTAAAGACTTTAGTTTTAGTTAATTCTTGCTTAGGCAGGTTTTCATTGAGATCAATGGAAATTTTTAGGATAAAGTATGAAATGCAGGCTTAAGATAAGTATTTTGAGAATGTGATGGGACTTTGCTTCAGAAGTTCTTGATGTTTTGAAGAGCTATAGCTGAGTGTACTATGTTGTAAACAGACAGTGTGTTCCTTCAATAGAGGACTTGCTGTCTGCCGAAATCTTCACACTGCCTCCACAAGCTATAAATGCCGGTTTTAAGAAAAACATGTCTTGGCTATAAAACACTCTTCTGTAAACTTGTGAAGAGGTTTTCTCTCTGTCTAGCTTTTATAGCTATACCAACCTTTAATTTTCAAACTGAAGATCTGTAATCATCACACAAGAAAATGGGTAAGTGTTGAGCAGAAATTAAACTGAATTGTTACTCTTCTGGCTGCTATGTCGTTATGTCTTGTGCTTAGTCTGGTACCTTTTTATGAATAGACGGACAAATATTTTCTCTGAACTGCCAAGATATGCCCCATATATTAATCTTTCCAACAGTGTGTAGCAATTACATTGCAGTAAGATGGGAAGGAGCCTTCTTGGTATGTACATGGTACTGGGACCAAAGGAATTTTTGGCAAATTTTAAGTCTGCAGTTCCATGGCAGCACTTTGCATCAGCATTCATTCCCTTGGTGTGCAGATTCCAGAGCAGTGTTCCAGTATAACAGCGATTAAGGCTATCCCTTTACTTTAAATGTCAGCTTATGTTGATGCATATTAAAATTGGGAACGCAGATGAGAGGCATGCCTCATCCTATGGGCACAGCTGCCCTCTGTGGGGCTTTTGCTGAGGATGATGCTTCTGAGTAACATTTGTCTTTCTACAGAAATCTTGTCAGTTGAAGCTGCCTGAAATAACATAGCCTTTGGTGCACTGGTACATGCCTTCTCCAGCCTTCAGCATTCAGTTAGAGAATCTGAAGTTATGGGTGTGTGTTTGTGTGCCCCTCAAGCTTTCAGTTACCTGCTATGCCACTGAAACCCAAACCAGGGACAGTTTTATACAAGCTGACGTAGCCCTACAATGTGTTAAGACACTGGTGACACTGCATCCCTCCAGAAAAAAGCACAGCTGTCCCTGTGCCCCTTTGCCAAAAGAAGTAGTGCTGAGCTCCATGTCTGCACCTTCTGCAGCGGGTCATGGTAGACCCGGATACTCCACTCTCCTTTGATTCTTCCTCTCTCTCCCAAGAGTTCAAGAGTATGAACGTGAACATGCAAATAGAAGAAACAAACAAAAATCACTTTGGCAACTGTTGTTTTTTTCCCCCTCTCTTTTTCTCTCCCTTTATTCTTCTTATTCCTCATCCCTGAAATCATGTGGGTTTTTTTTTCTTTTCTATCTGATTTCTTCTTTTTGTTCCCTTTGTTCCCTTTCAATGCTCTTTGTGTGATGAAGTGGGCCATACTCAGGTTTCCTGTTGCTGAGACCCCTGGGGATTTTGGCAGTCTGGAAAAGCACAGTTGTTTCAGTCGTTCTTTCATACCTGTGCAGGTCACTTCCCTGGAGTGTGCTGTCTCCTCTGCCTGATAAAGAATTCTCCCTCTTACATCCATGGGAGTGACCAGATATCACATTGGTTTCAGCATAGCATGAAATCACAAGAGCCCCTTGTGCATTAGTGTAGGTGGGTGGGTGATGTTGTAAAAAATGTCACTGAGAGATAACCGCCTCCAATATGGGCTCTCCTTGGCATGTGCACAAGTTACTCTAAGAGTCCTTGTATAAGCAACTTTCCTTCCAGCTCATGATAGCTCTCAGTGTGAAGTGTACCTCATGACTAATTTAATCCACCCACAAAAAGCCAGTGTGGGTTCTTTGCTTACTTGGGCATTGGTCAAGCTTTGTTACTCATTAGAAAAATAATAATGATTAAATAGATCTGAACAGAAAACTGAGCTTTATGGAACTTATGCTAAAATCAAACCAACATTTCTGGTTTTATGTCTACATGCTACAGAAGTGTTGGTGTGTAGCTAAACAAATGCATCACGTATTGTTTGCTACTGCACGAGCTGAGGGTAAGCTTTTTAATAGGTACATTGATGTCCCTAGTTTGACACGTTGACATTCTTTGACCAGTCAAACACACAGATTTCAGTATCCCTCCTCAGTTCCAGAATTCAAATTGCCTTCCTACAGTGGGCATAGTTTGTTTTAATTTGCTTTTAATTTCCCTCTCACACTTCTTGATTTTTTTAATTTTTATTTCCCCGCTTTCCATTGTTTTCATAAAGAAGTTGGACGCCTTGTGTTATGTACATAACGTTGGACTGTTTTCAACTCAAATAAGATAATAAAAAATAGTCTAGCAAATATGAGCATACTTGCAGCAATATCAAATATTATCCAAGGAAAGCAGAGTGCTAACTCCCAACACAGTAGAAAGAGAAATGCGTTGAGTACAAAACCAAATTATTTTATTATAGTGACCAATGTAAATGTTTGTCACAGAAATATTCTCTGATACTGTTTTTAAGTATTTTAGGTACTCTACTGCTAACACTTTTCACATGGACAGTTGTGAGTTCAATGCTTTGCAGCTTAAGAAATAAAAATTTTTCTAAGTGAAAGGTTTGTTAAATTTCTGGGATATTATTAGTATATTCATATTCATGATACACAGATCTTTACCAGGGCATCAAAACTGTCGTATAACTTAGCAGTGGTAATGAAGTATTATCAAATGTTCTTGTTTGGATTATGGGGTCAGTCAGGCAGTGATTTTCCCTGTGTTTTTATAGAGCATCTGGCATGACAAAGACCAGGCTCCTTGAAGTACTGTGATAATCTTTTCTTCTTAGATAATGTGTGTTGCTACTTGCAGAATGCCTTTACTGTTCACTCCATATTGAATGGGATTGCTCACTCACAGCCACTGGAGCAACTTGGCTCCCCCACCCTCCAAATGAAAGCTGATATTGCAGTTGTGATTTCTTTCACCATGACTATTGAGGCTAATGGGAATGAGGCAGAACTCGGCATGAGTGAAATGTGTGGCTAGAAGGGCAACTGCGAAGTCCACAGCTCCTTGTTTTAGTTTGGCACACTGAAATTTGTGCTGCCGAGCAGAAGTTAGTATCTTACCTTGGTTCTTAGCTGCATTGTATGCCAGGTGCCATAGCACTCGTTTCTATTGTTTCTAACAAATTACTAACTGAGGGTCAAGGTCTGATAATGAGGAACACCAGCTGATGACTGGGGTGGGGCTTACTTGAAGTTCATGTCAGGTAAAAAGTCTGGTAATTATATAACCAAATTGTACCAAACTATCTCTGAATCTCTCTAAAATGCAGCGCCTTTTCCAGCATGTATTGATTTGTAAGCAAAGGATACAAAAAACTTTTTCCTGATAAATAAAGGCTTATAAAGGTACAATAACTAAATTTGAAGCACACGTTTTCCTGTAGTATTTGAATACAAGGTTAGTTTGGTTATTGCTCTGGAAGGATCTCAAAATAGATGGAATTCTGGCTTTGGGGCCTCAGCCAACTGATCTCTTGTATGAATCACTTCTTGTTCCTTGCTCCAGGTTCCAGTGCAGTGGTCTGATATGATCACACTGAAAGCCAGGATGACCAATTATGGCCTACCTAGGTACCAATGGCTGACCTATGCTTGGAATTTCTTCCAGAGGGAGGTAAGACAACAGTTAAATCATGAGCTGAAGTAATATATGCTCAGTAAATGTTACTCATCTGCTGAAGGAAAAGGTTTTTAAGTGAATAGGTAAATAAGTGTAAGTTCATTTCATGTGAAACTCTGTGTACTGATGTCTCTTATCACTGATCTCCAACTCCTGAGCTTTTGTAGGGCCTAAAGACACTAAAATACTCAAAAAAGAATGCTACTAAATTCAGTTAAATTGCTAACACTGTCTTCTCCTTTGACAGTAAGGTTAGGACACCATCACAATTTAAGATCATTACAACTGTAAGAATATGATGTATATAAAATTAAAAATCCGCAGATAAAGTAAAATGAACATTTCACAGAATGGCAGGGTTTGGAGGTGACCTCTGGAGATCATCCAGTCCAACCCCCTTGCTGAAGCAGGTTCACCTACAGCAGGTTGCACAGGAACACGTCCCGGTGGGTTTTGAGTATCTCCAGTGAAGAAGGCTCCACAACCTCTGGGCAGCCTGTGCCAGTGCTCCATCACTCTTGAAGTAAAGTTTTTCCTCATATTCAGCTTGAACTTTCTGTGCTCCAGTTTGTCCTCGTTGCCCCTTGTCCTGTAGCTGGGCACCACTGAAAAAGAGTCTGGCCCCATTCTTCTGACATCCTTTGGTTATTTATAAGCATTGGTAAGATCCCCTCTCAGTCTTCTCTTCTCCAGGCTAAACAGACCCAGTTCTCTCAGCCTTTCGTTGTATGGGAGATGCTTCAGTCCCCTAATTAGTACTCCATATGTGACCTCACCACAGCAGAGTAGAGGGGGAGGTTAACCTCTGTCAACATGCTGACCACACTCTCTTAATGCACCCTCAGATGCCATTGGCTTTCTTGACCTCAAGTGCAGGTGGTGGCTGATGATTAACTTCTTGTCCACCAGGACTCTCAGGTCTTTCTCTGCAGAGTTGCTTTTCAGCAGGTCACCCCCTAACGTGTACTGATGCATGGGGTTATTTCTGTCTAGGTGCAGGACCCTACACTTGCCTTTGTTGAACTTCATTAGGTTCATCTCTGCCCAGGTCTCTAGCCCTCATCCAAGTCCAGGTCTTGCTGATGGCAGCACAGCCTTCTGGTGTGTCAGCCACTTCTCCCAGTTTGTATTATCAGCAGATTTGCTGAGGGTACGCTCTGTCCCTTCATCCACGTCATTGATGAGTACGTTGAACAAGACTGGATGCAGTACTGACCCCATGGGAATGCTGCTAGCAGCAGGACTCCAACTAGACACTGTGCCACTGATCACAACCCTCTGAGCTCTGCCGTTCAGCCAGTTCTCAATCCACCTCACTGTCTGCTCATCTGACCCACATTTTCTAAGCTTACCTGTGAGGATGTTGTGGGAGACAGTGTCAAAAGCCTTGTTGAAGTAGAGGTAGACAACATCCACTGCTCTCGCCTCATCTACCCACCCAGTCATGCCATCGTAGAAGGCTATCAGATTTGTCAAACATGACTTCCCCTTGGTGAATCCATGTTGTCTACTCTTGGTAACCTTCTTTTTCTCCACGTTTAGAGATGTCATCCAGAATGAGCTGTGCTATCACCTTTCCTGGGTCCCTTCTTGCCCTTTTTAAAGACTGAAGTGACATTGGCTTTCCTTCAGTCCTCAGGCACCTCTCCTGTTCTCCATGACTTTTCAAAGATGATGGAGAGTGGCTTAGCAGTAACTTCTGCCAGCTCCCTCAGCACCTGTGGGTGCATCCCATGGGCACCTATGGATTTGTGGGTATCAGCCTTGCCTAAACATTGTCTAACCCAATCCTCCTCAACCTAGGGAAAGTCTTCCTTTCTCCAGACTTCCTCTCCTACCTCCAAGGTCTGGGATTCCTGAGGACAAGCCTTAATGGTAGACTGAAGCAAAGAAAAAATTTCTACATGCTGTTTTAATACTAAACTGTGCTCCCCTTCCTGTAGGCTCTGTTAGTTTTTTTCATGAATCTGTCATAGTTAAGATATGTGTTTAGCTGGAAATAAATGGGAAAGGAAGTTTCCAAGAAGATGCCAATGCTACCTCTTTGGCTGAGGTTTGAGAAAGTGATCAGGGTTTTTATTTCCGTTGACTGGGAGGACAGGAAGGAAACCAAAAAGCTTCCTTGTGTATTCACAGCTTTGCCCTCTAGCTTACTCAAATTCAGAACTGTTTTTAAAGAATGAAGTATTGTGTTACAAAAACACGAAATTGCCCAAGGTAGAACCCATTAACTCCAAATATAACTCACATGCAGGAAGAGAACTCTTTAAATGCCTGTCATTGTGCTGCTCTTGTTGAAATGTTGAAATCTATCATTGTTGCGCAGATTTCCTGTTTATTTAAACATTTCCTGGCAGCACTTGGTTAGTCTGTATTTATATTGAAACCTAAAAGTGAGGACTACATGAGGTTAAACACCCTCCCAGGCTCCTGCAAGTGCTCTGTGAAATGGAATAATCCTTCATATACAGGTAGAGTTTTTGTGCCTGTTCTGTAGCTGAAATAATATAAATCAAATGTTCTCAATTTCCCTGAATGGAGCTGATATTGTGTCTTACTTTAAATGTATAAATTTGTATAAAATTGTATAAATTAAAAGCTGTCTCTTATATTCCTGGTTGTTGTAGTGCCATCATAATGACTGGTTTTAAAATGAATATTTGACCATGCCTTAACTCCACCAGGGGAGAAGTTCCTTTTAGAATTTAGATTTCCTGTATTCCATCTCTGACTGGAAGAATTATTTGGGGAAAGTTTAAAGTGAACTGAGAAGGCTCATTTTCAGCTCCTAGTGAATTGGTGGGCTCTTATCTTTATTCTCTCTATGCATAACTAAGACAGTGGATGTGTGAGCCTGGTATGTGGTTTATGCCTGAATGACACTATGGTTGAGGCCCTTCTTCAGTCAGCATTATGGGCTTTTATTCCTAAAGAAAAAACATGTAATTACAATTTTGTTCCTATAGCTTCAGCTCTGATCAGCTTTGTGCTCTTTGTTTTGTATCTTTTAACACCTGAGAGAGATGGGAAATGTATTTTCCCTCCAGCCCCCTTGCTGGTCTAACACCAGAAATGTGAATGTGCCAAGGCAGATGGGAAGAGTCAATTGAAGTCGGGAAGGAAGAAACAACGGGGTGAGAAAAGAAACAACACTGGGCTCTGTCTCTGAAGCATGTAAGGGGTGCAAAGGTTCCCAAGCCCATGGGTCAAAGGAACCAGGTGATGAATGACAAATGCTCAGGCTGGTACTGGAGAACATCCAGACAGAAACAAAGCAGCATCTTGTTCCTGCAGCAAGGCTCTTTTTCAGTCATCGAGTCCTCATCCAGTGCCGAAGAAAATCTTATGTAGCCATTTCAGCCCTTTTTTATGTGAAAGCAGCTAGGAAGGTAGTAGTCTGGTTGTTTGCCTTTAAATCTCTTGGTGTGCTGTGCAGAGAAGACAGGTTGTTAGTCCTGGTGGTTTTTATAGCCAATTATGGCTCATCTGCTTTGCACCCAGACTTCCTACTTTTATGCTCCATTCTGTTGCAGTGTTTATTTTAGTATGATACCCATTCCTTCCATTTTCCTTTTTTCTTTCAGCATTTGTGATTTCTATACCTTTTTGCTCACTTTTTTCACTTTTTTTTTTTTAGGCTTTCTTCTGTATTCTGATAAATTTATGCTCTTTCTTGTCTAGTTTTCAACAGATGTGTCTGTAGTTGTAGCCCTGGAGAAATAGTGCACACTAGTAAGGCCTTAATCATATTTTCCTTCTAATTCCTTCAGCCACAGGTATATTTGTTAATTAGTCACCCTTTTGATGTGAAATTATCATGTATCAGTTCCTTGTAGTAAGGATAGCAGAATTACAGGGTAGGACAATTTCTGTGAAGCATCCTTGGAGGGGGAGCAGTTGGGATTTTAAGGACAAAGCAGTATTATTAGCTGTTTTTAAGGTGTTCATTGGTCACTGCATTACATTTTTCATGTTGCTTTTATGTCAAAGTAGAGCAGAAGATAGGTGGAAAGTCTTGTAGGTGTTTTTAGTCCTGCATAAATATTTTGAAAGTTGTTAATGGGAATTTATTTAGCTTGTTAGATGACCTACTTTTATGAAGGAGTAGCATCGTTATTGCTGATCTTGGCTAATCCTTCCTTTGCAGTTTAAATGTTGTGGGGTGGTATACTTCACAGACTGGCTGGAAATGACAGAGATGGACTGGCCGCCTGACTCCTGTTGTGTCAGAGAGTTCCCAGGATGCTCTAAGCAGGCACATCATGAGGATCTCAGTGACCTTTACCAGGAGGTAAGAAGAAAAATGTGGATATTTCGGAAGGCTTTTTCTGTACTTCCTGATCCCAGTCATTTTCCAAACTCATCACTTGCAGTGCAGCAGAAAGGTTTGTAGAGTAATTGTGTTTATGGGAAGTGTTTATTGTGTTTATTTGTTTATTAATTATTAATGCTGAAGGGGATGGGGGAGGAAGGAAGCAAGGAAGTAAGAACTCACCCAATATTACCTGGAAATGAGGTAAGCTAGTAGCAATGCAGTTAGAGTCTGAGATATGCTTGAGCATTGAGGTATTTGTTTTATATTGGTTAGGTTGGAGTTGAAATTTGCTCCAATTAAAAAAAAAAAAAGTTTTGATGTAATGTCCAAGTCTCCAGCTTGCCAAACTTAGAAATTCTACTTACCCTGTGGTAATGAGGACTCAAGTGGTATTTACAGTGAAGGATGCTTTTGAGGAGTCCTTTGGAAGATGAGAACTTTCTTGTTAACAGGGTTTATGCAAGGAAACAGGTAATTCAGTTTCTCTGCTGTGAGCATGCATAGAAACTGTGTGTGAAAATTCTCTTCCTCTCTACTACATTACAGAATTATTATTTAAAAAAATATATATTAAAAAAGCCTTAAAACCAAGAGAGGACCTATTTGAACTCAAAGTGGGTAAGAAAGGAGATCATGGTTGCAAGTCATTACTGTTGTTGAGTATAAATTATAAAAACAAGTAAACATGTTCTCTACTAAAACTTGTTTAGCTGCTCTCACAAAAATGTTGCCACCTTTGTGTGGAGACTGCTTTGCTATCTACTTTTTTTAATGTTAACAGATCTCTGAAGACCTTTAATTGTTCATCCAGTAATATCAGAATGACCAACAGTTCAGGTAGTCCAGTAGTGACAAAAGCATGTTTCACTTAAGTAGTTACAAGGATCTGAGAAGTGATACATTCTTCGTTTGCTTGCTTTAAGAGTAATATAGGCTGCATGAGAATCTATTACACTGCTTTTGTTCAGGAGCCATTGGAGAGATACCTCTGAAGCAGAGGAGATTCACTGTATAAAAAAGCCAAGAGGAATATTAGCTATTGCCAGGAAACAATCAAATTTTGGGAAATAAAATCACAAAGTGATTTGTTAGATTTGTATTGCATTGATGCTGTGAGCAGAAACGATACAAACTATTCTGGACATTCAGATGTCCATCCTAGGCCTTGTGTGCTTTCACTAGGAAGAGAAGAAGCAGAGCTGCCAAAAGGCAGGTACCTCCGAAGGGCAGTCTGTGCTGGGGAACCTTGAAGACAGTGGCAGAGGCTGTTTTCTTTCCGCCAGCTGCTTGTAGAGCCTCTTCTGCCCTATGACAAGGTTTGCAGCACAGGCAGCACTGGTCAAACTTCAGAAGTGTCAGGCTCTGAATGGGAAAGCCATTCAGGTTGCTTCTGGGACCTGCCAGTTTCTTACACGTTCTTGAAGAAGAACGAACTGTCGCTCACTCTGTGATAATGGTTGTTTTTGTAATACTGTTGCCAGTATTGATGCCATACAGCCCAGCTCTGCTATAGAGAGCCCTCAAGGAGTGTAGATGTATAGAGGCTGCAGAACATTCATTTGGTGGGAGTGTCCTTCCTGCTCATGTGAAAAGGCAAGAGTATGTAAGCAGTGTCACTCAATAAATACTAGTTTTTGAGCTCAGGAAGCTCAGAAATTTCTGAGAAGGAGTGCTAGTTACTGGAGTGTCTTGTCAAAGCTTCAAGGTGTCCTCATCCCATCTCTTCTGCTAACATTTCATTCCTATAGCCATGTTCTAGGAAAGTGGTTCTCTGCTTACTTTGTATATTCAGGTTCTTTGGATTTTACTTAGAGAAAATTAATAACCAAAGATGATGATGATGTAGAACATAAAGGCTCTGTTGAGACCCACTTGATTAAAAAAAAAGGCTGCCTGGCTTTTCTTTCTAAAAGAAACCTGAAGGACGCATTTCTGGTTCTTCCCCTAGTGTACCTCAGAGCTTTTTGGATTGATTCAAATCTTAGCAAAAATTCAGTTTTGTCTATTGCAGAATCTGTTCCAAAGAGAGACAGGCTGTGTTCTGGTTTACCAGCCACAAAAGTACTCCTTTGCTTTTTGAGGTATGTACAATGTTTGGTTAGCAAAACTTTGTTTTTTTTTTCATGGTGCTTGCCTGTGGGTTGTCTCACAGGCTCGTTACAGTATGCTTGCTAATATGTTTATCAATATCATGCAAAAACAACTTATACTTGCAGGGCTAATCTGTCTGAATTCTGCTTTGGAGAATTGAAGGAGAAAAGCTTTTTTGGGAAGGGAATCAAAACAAACTTACATGGTCTGGTGGCTTGAGAGGAGGCCTGGCAAGATTAGCCTTGCTAGCCTATAATTGGCTTATGTAAATACTTTGTTCTGGTACTTTAGAAAAACTCTTTGTAGTACTTCAGAAAACTGAAGTTTGGTGTGGTTGGGATTGATAAAACTGTTTTGTTGTAGCTGTACTGCAATTTTCTGCTAAGATCTCAGAACTTCTGTAGTCTAAGTTGGAATCCTTCACAATACAGTACTAGTAGAAAGAAAAGTGGCTTACTTATAGTTCTGGTTGAGAGTATTTTTCACAGGAATCACGTTTCCCTTACTGAATTTTGAAAGCTTTTTTCAAATGTGTTAGTCTACTTGGGCTGCTTTTATTCTGATGAACTTCGCCTTTGGTGTCCTTGGAACAGACTGACCTTGGAAAGAGCATCATTGTGAGGAATGTGTCAGAAGTGGCCTTGGAGGTTGATTGTGGTCTGAGGTCAAGGGGAGCTCTGCCTGTCCTTGTTACCAGGAACTGTAGCCTAGATAAAATGATTGGTAGAAGTTGGTATTTTTAGATAAATCAAAATTTCATGTTCAGTATTTTTCTTTTGTTTTCTAGCATAATTTTGAGTATACTCAAAATCTGAATGTACAGCAGATCTGTTGAACATGCTAATGGTTTATCTTTTCTGCTCTGAGAAGTGCCTTATTTAAGATCTGGTTCTTATTCTGTGATGTTGCAGTAAATCAGAAATATATGCTCTGTTTCCATTTTAAGACTGGAAATATAAAATGGCCTATGTAATAAATATGAATCAGGCCTTTAATCCATAGCTCTGTAGGTGTTTGAAGCTAATTCTTCTGAACGATTGCTGCAAAGTTTTACACTATTTTTGAGTAGTCAACAAGAGCTCCCTGGTTAGTGACGAACTTTTACTTTTGCCAAGGAAAGTATATTTATGTACTCCTTAATTGCAGGCTACCAACTATGAATGTGTTGCATAAGCAGAAATAAAATGCATGAATGTGAGGGGTGGCTGGATATATCTCAAATTTGAAACTGATTTTGAACGTGTATTAGAGCAGAACTGTAAGAACATCATTAAGTGGAGGGAGGCACTCTATCTAGATTGGGCATAATTTGTCTCAGTTACGTGTCTGTACGGCAGGAGATGCAGGCATTAATGTTGCTGCTCTCTGTTTATGGATGTTTCCTCTAGGCAACAAATGAATTGGATTTGAATACTGCTGTGGCTGAGCATTTTTAAATTGTGACCAGTATGTACCTTCATCCCTTAAAGTTAGCAAAAGTATTAAAATGCAGCCACTTTCTCTGTAATTAAAAGCAAATTTGGAAAGTAATGTAATTACAACAATGTCTTCTAGTTGAAGGAAGAAAAGACACCAACATTATAATTTTTGTTCCTCATCAAGTTCAACTGTATTGCTTTTGCTACAGGGTTTTTTCTTTCCTTTTCAAATTTCGAAGTATCCATGTTTAATCCTTGTTCTATATCTAAAATATGTTTAGAAAATGACACAGTGAAATAATGAGTGGAAAAAAGATATTGAGATCCTTTAACATACACTGGTACAATTATGATATAGTACTTCAATTTTATTTAGATCCTAAATGAAAATATATTGACAGCAGTGTGAATTATTTCTGTAAGGCCTTTCATCAAATGCACTCAGGACTGTAGCATTTGAAATTGTTGGCTTTGAGGAATTTCAGTGCAATTGAAAAGTGTTATTTATGATGTCCTGCCTTCAGATTCTGTCACTTTGATCAGTTGCTTTCTTTTCATGGAGAAGCTATAAGAAATATGTTGTGAGGATATAAATGCAAAAAAAGACATATTTAAGACTGTGTCCATTTTGATGGGTGTCTGATGTCTTCTGTTGAGACCAATGCCTGTTGGTACTCATGGTGTTATCCCATACAGTTCATTACATTTTTCCTTTGGTGGCTGCCTTCATTTGATTTCTGTGCTGTGAAGCCCTGTAAATTTTAGAATAGAGAATAAGCATGGGCCAAAGTAGCTAAGGGACCTCTCTTCAATGTTTTGTCCTTTCAAAGACTGGGCATCACCTTTCCTGAGCAACAAGCATCATGGCTTACATTTGCACTGTTATCCTGTAGTTCCCAGAGCCGGTGTCTGTGGATCCATGCTGCCTTACAAGGGCTTGGGAGCTTTCCTGAAGCCTTGTACCGTCATTGGTTGACCATGTAAGCGAACTGGATTGTGCACTGATGGTTTGGAAAGGGCTAAATTTCCATTTCTGGGAAACATCAATTTGTGATGTTTTAACATAGGTTTCATCAGACATTTTTTCTGTGTAAGTAATTACCTATTATTATTCTGTAAAAAAATTGCAGAGGTTGTATATGTGACCATCTTTCTAATGCAGCATGGGGATGGTCAGCTCTTTGAAGCAGGGCAGAGCTGCCTGCTTGGGTTTGTGTGGAGCCTGATGCAGGGCAGGTTGTTACAGCTACTCTCACAGCAGTTAATGTTCTAGACATTAGTGTGCTTAAGTAATTAAGTAATTAATAATTGAAGTATCAGCAGCCCAGCACAAGATATGAGGTAAAACTGTCCCTTGGTATAATACCATCAGAATAATTGACAGGGAAGTTTCTACATTCAGATCAGAAATTAAGCCAGCTAGTGTTAAAATATAGTCTATGAATAACGGAGGTAGGCGGAGTATAGCATAAGGAGATACGGTTTTTTCCAATGAGGAGATCCTTGTAGTTCAAGAATAAAAAGCAGAAGTAATGCCACATGCATGTGGTATCATCACCACCAAGTACTAAAGAAAAGTCTGTGTGTACCCACTGTGTCCTGGCAATTTGTCAGGAGCCCTCCCTTAAAGGTTATTCTCCTTTGATGATCCTTACACAGATGGTGACTGAAATGTAATGATTTTTCTACTCCCTGGGGACTTTCTGCAGAACTAATAAACTGGCATATAATGAGTCCAGAGAAAACACTGAAAAAGAAAAGGTGGGGAGAAACACTGATGAGGTTATGCAGGTCTGTAGATCTTTCCTAGAATATTGTTTTAACTTCAGATTGTGGTATTATTTGTAGAAAAAGCCTAAGGAGCTTAAAATAATTGACAACCTTGAAGATCTGCAGCTTAAGGAGAGAAATAAGATGATTAAGAGAGTTTAATGACTTTTAAACCTTCACGAAATTAGTTGAGTTTCTTTAAAAAACTGTGGTAGTTGCTAGAAACTCGGATCAACTTTGAGTGATTTCTTGACTGAAGAGTGGCACAAGTCTCTCGGAGGTGTTACATGCAGTGAACTCTCAGTGTATGAGAAAACTCAAAGATGGCATTATGGAAGCAATTAGAAAATAGACAAAATAATTTTCAAAGTATGTTTTGAAAGAGGCAAGAGAGGTTTTGGGGGAGCCAGAGAAGCCAGCACTAGGTAGGGTGAGCTAAACCTTGGGAACTGCAAGCAAAATAATACTGACTAATGTTTTCAATCTATTTTTTGTTTTGTAGGGATGCGGTAAAAAAATGTACGCTTTTCTGAGGGGGACGAAGCAATTGCAAGTGCTGAGATTTCTCGGAATCTCTATTGGAGTAACGCAGATCCTGGCTATGATCCTCACTGTCACTTTGCTGTGGGCTCTGTACTACGACAGACGGGATCCTGGAGCAGATCAGATCATGGACCTGAAGGGTGACACCTCGCAGCAGCTGTCGTGTCATTCCATGGAGCTACTGAAACCAAGTCTGGCAAGGATCTTTGAGCACACATCTGTGGCAAACAGCTTTAATACACGCTTTGAAATGGAAGAGCTATAGGTGATGCAATGCATCTGAGAAGTCACAAAGGACTTTCATTGGGTTCTGTTGTTTTTATTCTGTTCCATCAGCTATGCCAAAGATACCAGTCTTCCTGTTCTTCAGAAAACAGCTAATGGGTGAAGTGAAGCCGGCCTGCATAGAAGGAAGGATAAGGCTGTCAGCCTCTTAGAGGAGCCATGGAACAGAGTTGATTGCGTTTGTTTTTTTAAAAGGCACTCATTCACTTGGCACAGTAATATTTAACTTCTTACCACAACCTGTGTGATGCGTAAAATACTGATTCATTCGCGGGTGGATGGACAGAACCCCTAAGGAAGCATTGGAGGAAAGGAAGAGGAACTCTCATCTTCTGAAAAAGCAACTGTGCTGTGGACAAACAAAATGTGACTTCAGCTGAAATTGACTTCTACATTTTTAATAAGCCATTTGGAAAATGTCTTAATCAGGGATCCGTGTATATATAGTTGTGTGGTTTTGTGTGTGCAGAAGTACAATTCAAGTCAATACTTGGATTTAAAAATTTGGAAGATTTGTAAAAAGAGCAAGATTTTCTTTTTTTTCTAACAAAACCTCTATCTTAGCTATTGTTAAAGATGTTCTAAAGCTTCTATTTTTATCTAACATAACTGTTTAATTTTTAATTTTAAATATATTAAACAGGGATGGAAGACAGAACTATGGACATTAGACTTTAACTTTCTGTGTAATTGTGAAGAATTCTTCTTTGAAATAGTTTGTTCTATGGACAATTTCTTAGCAAAACGAAAAGAAAGAAAACCTTAAATATTCTTACCAAGATGGGAATCAATATAGGAGTAGCACATTTTTATAGATAAATCTTTTCTCCTGTCTCTGATTCCCCTGAAGTAGAAACAAAAGTCTACAAGGAAAATGCTTGCAGTTCTGGATGCTATTGCAATAATTGTAAAAGTGCATAAGGAGAAATTATACTTTGACGGCGTCTTCATTAAGAGCTCTCTAGTGGCTTAAAATGCCAACTAGAAACAGCATTAAAATGTATTTATTGAGGTGGGGAAAGTGCATTTTACTGTATTTTTATGAGCAATGTTTATTTCATAGGATTATTTTTACAATTGGCCATGTTCCTGAAATATATATTTGTTCCACTGAGTATAGTAGTTTGTGGCAAATTTGTTTTTACATAATATTAAATTTTAAAAATTCTTTTTTTTTTTTTTGGAATTTGGAAAAGAAAAGAAAAAACAAGGTGTGATTTGGTAGACAATAAAATTACTTTTGTCTTAAATTCTGTAATGTTTTGGGTTTTTTTAAATTTTTAAGTCCTAGAGTGTGAATGCTTTGGGTGGGAGTAGGGAGAGTCCTTCTGCTAGTGTGAGTTAATTTGAGGTGTCTTTACCCAATCCACTTCTTCTGTTGTGGAGAAACTGAATTGTTAAATCAATTTTCTTTTTTCTGTTGCTTCAGAACTATCTTCTTAAGGGCTCATGAAATTAAGCTCTTCGGTTGTGTGGGCTGTGGTTTGTTTTTTAGAAGTGTACACGTGGGTGCAATTATTTCACAGGTACTATTGCAAGCGAGATTACCTTTCTGCTGTTGTACCTCTCCTACAGAGATGCTAGTACTTATTGTGGGAGGTAAAGAAAAGGCTGAAGGGATAGACCTTCCCAAAATTTTGGAGTATCTTTGTCAGAAATACCTTCTCGTGCACTGTTCAGGAAGCCTTGTGCCCAGTGTTGCTGCAGACTTCCATCCTTCCCATTGCTTACCTGGGCAGCATTTCTGCAGCTAAGGGTGAGGTTCCTATGTAGAAAAAGAGGAGGTGTCTGAGAGAGCCTGGATGTAGACTGGCTTTAGACTTTGGAGTGCTACAGACACCTGGGATGCTAGACACTGGGTTGAGCCATTGTTGGGGTTTTTTCCCCATGTGAAAAGAAAACCCCAAAACGAAACAAACCACAAATTTTGGGGTGTTTTGATTGTGGATTGCATGGATTACATCACATGTACCCCGCTACATTCACCATAAGTGATATAAAAAAGGGCAGGAACAAGTCCTTTTGTGCAGAAGTTCCTAACACTTAAGTTTTATCCAAGAAGTGTCTTTGGAAGCTCCCTTAGCCTTGCAGCTATCCCAAGTCCTCCCATGGGAGGTTGGGAGGTGTCCTTGGGCTACCAGTGCGGGTTGCCTGTGTATCGTCTGGTGTCTGGGTTAGAGCTCATGGAGGAACATACACAGTAAGCCAGGCTGGGGTGGTCTGTTGGAGGGGTCACAGCTAGAATTAGAGATACTGACAGCCCAGGTCATTTGGTTTTAGGCTGTCCAGGTGGTGAGGAAGCACTGCCATTAAGTGTAGTCATATTAAGAGCAGAGGGCTTCTTTGGCATAGGGCTCCTTTGATACAGGACCAACGTCCTAGACCAGTGTTTGTGGACCTCCATGACAGTGAACATCCATGGTCAGTTTAACTTGCTTGGCCTTGCCTGCCCAAATCCTGAGGCAGCCTGTGTTTGGTATGGGGCTTGTTTCACTGGGGCAAAGACCCGCATGCCAGGACTGATGAAAGTATTCTCTTCCCTAGTAAGGACTATCAGTAAGTATTCTGGGAAAGAATCCTCCTATTCTGAGCATCTCACCACACTTGCCAAAATAGGTCTCAGCAGTAAATTGGAACACTTTCAAACTTCTTTTCTTTCACTGTGCTCAGGCTCTGAGGTGTCTCTGTTTTTCTAGGGCTTGTTCAAAGAGCCTTAAAATTGATTGACTAGGCTGCTGTGAGCCTGTTCTTTTCCTGTAGAGCTTTAGGATATATGTAGGAGAGAGACTGCTTGGCAAGAGGGGAACATTTAGAGACACTTGCAGCAGTAAAAACTACTTTATCCCTTTATTTCCTTTTTCCATCAGTTTTGCAGGAGTACCTGGAGGAGAAGGGTGATGTATTCTTTCTTCGCTCAGTGTAAAGTGTAATGAACCAAATCTTTTTTGTTGCAACGAGCAACTATGGAGCTGCTCCTTAATGTTTTTCACAGATCTCTTAAAGGTGAGGAGAGCAACTGTGTTTGTTAGAAAAGGGGTCACCCCCTGCCCACATCAGGTGTTTCTGTTCAGCCCAGTGAATCACAGCGAGTCCGTGGGACTGTGCCTGCAGCTGTCGGGCACAGTAAGTTTTGCACCACAGAGCCATGACTTGGGAGTATGGGGATGCTTCTAGGAGGCAGAATTCACTATTCCTGGCCTTTGGACAAGGTATTGATTTGTCTGCCAGCAGGCTGTATGACAAGGCTTTTTGGAGGAAATGCAGCTATGTTTTCTGTTCTTAATAACAGTTCATTTTGTAAAAGCAACCCATAAATATAAGGAAAATTGAATAAATAGTAGAAAGAGAGGCTGTTGGTCACAGCGACTGTACAGTTAGATATGATGGAGACAGCAATTTTCAAATAGTTTTTGAATTTTCTACATAAAAGCATTATGTTTAATTCATATGAATTGCTATTATTGAAGTGAGATTGTATCTAAAACTTTAAAACTCGTGTGGGGTTGACTACATTTCTTTAAAATAAATTGGGATGTTGTCCTAAATACTTCAGATTTTTTAGGCATCTACTTGCTTTTTATTCAGCACTGCCCCACCTTCAGTTGTTTCTTGTACATAGATCCTGTGAAAGTGGGTACCTTACAAGTAGATAAAGAGGTAACGCATGTAGGTAAGAATGTAAGCTGTCCAGGTAATTACGGGTATCTTAGAGTCTTTGGAAGTCTAAGTGTGTTGTTCATTCCCGACTTCTCTCTTAGCTGCACATTTACATTTCCCCTCAGCTAATCGCTATTCCAGAACACCTGAAAATCTTCAGATGTTTCCTCAGTCAATGGGAAAACAAAGTCTTGGTGGGCCCCAGGTGCAGGAAAGGCAGCATATGACCTCCTAAGCACCCTCCCTGTCCAAAACTTTATGATCCTGTGATTTCACTAATGTATCCTCCTCCAGACAGTTTCCTCTCTGAAAGCCACCCTTGTCCCTGGAGCAGCTGAGGTTGCATCGCGTTCTTGGCTGCAAAAGCCTCCTCTCGGCAGTCAGCAAAACCTTAACATGTAAAGCGTATGTTTCCAGTTTGTCTCTGGTAGCCGTGTTCTGGGAGGACAGTCATTCTCCTTAAAAATGCTCTGGGATGGTTCACAGACAGATGTTCCTTTTACTTGTTTGTTTGGTTTTTTTACCCCCCAGAGCAGCAAGAGACGTCTCCTGGCAGAGACGACCATCACATGTGCCAGTGCTGCAGTGTACGTAGCTGATAGATCAGCACCATCTGCACTGCCGGTCGCCCTGTGTAAGACACACAGCATGTTGTTACCTGTGGTTACCCTATGAAGGGAGTTTGACCTTGTCTGTGCACTAATATTTTATCGAGAGAATTTTTTAACAGGTTTGGGGTGGGTCTGTAGCCTGGGAGGTTCAACAGAGCTCAGTGTCTAGATGTACTGAAAACAAAGCAGATCCTTTTTAAAAAGTACAGATAGAAAGGTGGAGTTAATATTGCTGGAAATAATTTAATGCCCCAATTTTCTCTGCTGCTGCAGGCTGGGAAGGGGAAGGAGATGGTGACCCACAGAGGCGAAGGGCAGCTCAGTCTTATGGAGCTGTGGCATCCTGGTCTTGGTCTCCTGGCATGGTTTAGATGCACTCACAGCTAGCCTGGCATTAGTGTTGGGGACATTTGTTGCCCTCAGATTTAGTGTTCCTTCAAATTTATTAGGAAAAAAAAGTTCCATTAATAAGTTATTGCAAAACCAGGTTGACCCATTCAAGCATGCAGATGTTTTATTTAAATATTCCTCAAATGTCTATTTATTCAGCATAATGCATGTATTATGCTGCCTTCTGAAATACGATATATGACTGTCAAACAAAATTGTCAAAACAACAACCTCGGTTTCTTGGTATGATACACATAAGTAATTACATTTCATGTACAGTACAGATGCATTTTACACAGTCATCAACAGTCATTCACTACCAAAACAGCATTTAAATCACCTAAAACACAAAAAGAATGTGTATTTCCCAAATTCAGAATAAATTAATGATTGTGCATGTGACTTGTGGAAATAGGAGACAGGGTTGGAATTCTGTAAAATCATACTAAATTATTCCTTAAGCTGCATTTTAATAATGAAAATACAAGTTGCTTCAGGGGTATAACTGTTATGAAAGTGTATTGCTGTAGTGAGTTCTTTTTAGTCCATATGAAAAGGAGAATAAAGAGATTTTAAGACACGTGACCTGATGGAGTCAGTAGGTTTCCTGGGTTGTATGTAGTCTGTCCCAAAGTGAGTTTAGTATCTGCCTTTTTGGTTATTTACCTGATGTTACTAGTCAGGAAGTACCATGTGGCATAAAAAATTTGTTGTTGCAGATTGGTAATACCAAGGCAGTTTTTATACCAGTAACTGCCAAAAGGTGAGGAGCAAGCCATATTTTCTATGAGTAACCATGGGTAGAAGTAGGATCCAAGTAGTAAGTCTGGGTCCATGCTGCCTCTCTTTTAAACCCCATTAAAACTTACACAACCCACCAGCTTCAGCAGATCTACTGCAACTTTCCAATAGGGCAGAGGAGATGAGAGCAATGTTGGGTGGTCAACCTCAGCAGCGGTCCCCAGAGGGGAGCGTTCCCCTGGGTGAGGACAGCCTGTGCTGCTGCTCACTGGTAGGGTTTGAGCGAAAGGTAGAAGCAGCTCAGTTTACAATGAGAAAGGTATTCTCATTTGCAGAAAAAGTGGGAAGTTAACTCCAAATTAACCAAGCTTACAAATGAGTAAATTATAAAAGAGTAATGCATGAAATTATGTACTCCTTTTAACTGCAGTTTAAGTCTAATATGTGACGTTGTTGTATTTTGGTGTACATACTGTAGCATGATAGTCCATCATCTACTCTTCAATCTCTGTTGACTAGAGAGAGAGACACTAGTATTTGTGTGCAGTAAAACGTGTATCATCAGCAAGTTTCCATTTTTAGTGGGTGTTTTAATGTAAATTTTCAGGTCAGTAGAATGCTAGCAAATACTGTACTGAAACGTACACTACTCAAACTATTAAATAACTGTGTTAATCATTTATTGTAATGGCATGTAATGCACTGAGCCTTTTGACTTATATGCATATTTTATTTTGCAGACATGCAATTATTTCTGATCCAGTGTTTTTGATGTATATATGTATGTATTGATATGCACATATTCCATGTATATTTGATGTATATGATGTACGGTATGTCATGTATATAGGAAGCGTTATGATACATCTCCTAATGCACTTTCATGAAGAAAAATGACCCTTTTTTATCAGAAAGCTTTCTGGTAACATCAATGTCTTTTAAAAGTGAAGTCAAAAACCTTTACTAGAAGAGCCTTCATATCAGCTTTTAGGCCTGCCCACATGGGTAATTTCCAATGAAATAAATTATATTTTTATAGCTTTGGGACCCAATCCATTATTCTATCAGTGTTCTCAGGTAATTAAACATCTTCACACAATAGAAATTCTCAAACAAATTTTCGGATGTAAGTTTACATATAATTACAAAAAGAATTTAGTCATCTTTTTTACCGAATTACTTTTGGTGTTTCCCGGCGTAGCCAATGCTCTGGATGCTGCAGAATGTCAACAGGGAAGCTTTGGAGATACATGCTAGCTGATCCCAAAAACACCTTTGTTATAATTTTAATTCAAATAGGATCGATCCTGCAAGAGTACTCTGAGACGAGAGGTTTGTTCTGAAAACACAGAAGCAGACAAGATGCCTACAGAAGAAAGGACTACGCTGATTCATCAGTAGCCTTGAAATTCCAGATAGTATGGTAATGTTGGAGTAGACAACAAACTGTCATAGAAGTGGAGGACAGAGGACAAAAAGAACAATGACTGAATAGCGCATTCGTGGTGCACGGTTTAGCTGCAAGATTATTTAAATGTTTGCCATTAGATGTTTATTGTGTAGATGAGTTGTGTAAAATACCTTAAAAAAAAAAAAAAGAAATCCTGATTCCTGATACAACAGGTGTACAATGACTTATTGCAGTTGTAACAGTACCTAGGAAGCAAGATAAAACAATAGTAAATATTGAACTAACTGAACACCTTTAGTTCACTAATGAGTGTTTGAATAAGAAATACTGCATTTTTCAAAGGGAAATTATTTGTACAACTACCATGGAACATTAACAATCAGCTTGTTGTAAGTGCACGGAAATGCCCCTTTCTACAATAATATTTTATCATGCCTAATCTGAAAAACAACAAAAGTAAACTGAGATCACAGCTTCAAATAATTTCAGCATGCATTGTGGTTGTAGTTCTTTCAGTCAGTACAAACATATTTCATATGAGCATTTTTTCTTTCATTTTTTGATAGTTTCTCAACAAGTTTGTGGTTTATTAACAGGAAAAAAAAGACAGGTTATCAAAATGTTTCTTGTTGTTTTGCATTCAGCAG